TGCAAAGCCCTGAGTTCAAAACCCAGCCCCATTAAAAACACACACACACAAACACACACCAAACAAAAATAGATTCTGCTCCAAAAAAAAAGTCTGTGGTACAATCAGTCTGAGATGTCACTTCCGTGGAGCATATTAAAGGACCCTTAGGAGTCCCATCAGAGGGAAATCTCATGTTTAAACTTTATATCTGGCTTCCTTCCACCAAAAGGACTCTATCCCCCACCTCTACCCAATATCCATCATTATAGGAAGCCTACTTAAGTTTCCCCTTTGCCAGCCAGGGACCCAGGAACCAGGGCTCCTCACTGCTCCCAGATGAAAACTCCAGAACTTGCCACAGGCACTTACAGTTTCACAAAAGGCCTCTCTGCTGGACAGACAGTACCTTCCTCTTGGGACATTCTGCAAAATCCCACTTACACCCAGTCCAACATACAAATCTAGTATGCAGAATCGGACATCTAGAGACCTCAAAGGCCCAGTTATCAACCAGCTAAGGGGTAATGTGACAAGGGTGGGGGAGAGTAGAAAAGGCTCAAATCATACAGTCTAAAGCCTGAATCCACTAGCTGGTGATCTGAGCCTGTAAGAAGCCCAGTTTTCTTATATAGAGCACATACTTTTAAGAGCTGCTGTGAGGATTAAATAAGAAAGAAAAGGGCTCAGGTTCATGCCTGGCACAACAGGGGTTCAATACATAGTGTCACTTTCACCATCACTATTATGAAATTCATGCAACTCCTCTGTTTACAACCTTCATAGGCACCTCAATGCCTATTCACAAGTTCAAGCTTCCTAAACAGCTAATGAAGACCCTCAATCCAGAGCACAACCCCAGCCACACCAATCTTCCCACCTTTCCCCAAGACCCTATAACTTCTCATCACTGGAATGACTCCTGCAAGCTCCTCTGACTGGAAGGCTTTTCTCCAAGTCCTAACCCCACCGTCCTCAAGACTCAGCTGGAATCACTTCTTAGGAAGCAGCTTTAACACCAGGTGCTACACTGCTGCAATCCAGCACTCAGAGGCTGAGGCAGGAGGATCTCGAGTTTGAGGCCACACAGACAGAACCTGTCTCAAAAACATACAAATAACCAGGTGCCAGTGGCTCACGCATGTAATCCTAGCTACTCAGGAGGCAGAGATCAGGAGGATCGCTATTCAAAGCTGGCCCAGACAAATAGTTCGTGAGATCCTATCTCGAAAACATCCATCACAAAAAAAAAGGGCTGGTGGAGTGGCTCAAGGTGTAGGCCCTGTGTTCAAGCCCCAGTACTATAAAACACACACACACACACACACACAAACAAATAAACAAATGGACAATGGGTGGAGGGAAGAAGCAAGCAGGCACAACATCATGGGAGCAAGGGGCAAGGGTGAGCAAGTTTCCTGGATACCTAGTCAGGTATTGTAAGTGCTTTGCAAATACTCAGTGAATCCTCACACCAGTGAAGTTGGTGCTAGTATTACCCCATTTTACAGATGAGGAAACTGAGGCCCAGAGAGGTTAAGTAACTTCCCCAAGGTCTCACAGTCACAAGAGACAGAGCTGGAATTTGAACCTGAGTTGTCTAGCTTTAGCGCCTACTCCTGATTTTGCTCTACTATACTTCAGCTTTTCGATTCTGTCCTCCTACCACTCTCTGATGTTTGCTCTCTTTCTGTAACAGTCAAATGGCCCTGTAGCTCTTCAGCCAGGCTTGCTCAGGCAATTCACTCATCTGGGAGGACGAGCTGCCTTCACCAGGCTGTACAGAGGACAGAAGATGGCAGGCACTTGGTACAGTGGCTAGCCTAGTGCAAGAGGCCCATCAACCCCGGCAGTAAGGATAATTTCTGGGGATGAGTACTGAGCAGTGTGCACCCCATGAACTCCAAACATGTCACAAAGGCTCAATAATACCCCATGACTTGAGTGCTTCCTTCCAATTCATTTTCACAAAAATTCCTGCCAAATTTTGAACCTGTTCTGGAACCTGGAACAAAAGGGTGCTGGGGGCAAAGAACTTGAGGAGGCAGATAATCCAAAAATAATTGATCCCAGGTCGTGGCAAGCATTTTGTTTACTGCAGCAGGCTGACCTTCCCAATTAACATCTGCTTAGGCTAACATTACAGCCTGCCCTCCCCAACACACAGGATTGCGTGTGTTCACCATAGTTTTGCAGGGGACAGGGTCAGACCCAGGCTGGCTGCCCACTGCTGAGTGGTAACCTGAGGCACAGACGGCCCAAAGCAAGGTCCCCAAGGGGACTCTTGGCTCTAGAGGCCCTGCAGGATGGAGATCATATGCTATATCCAGGGCCCCTCGTTTTGTATCTGCTGAGTCAGCCAAGGGTGGCTGTTTGTAGAAATGCTGTCAAGAGCGGAACCTTGTTTGCAGACTGGAGAGGGTGCAGCCAATTTCAGATCCTGAAATTCCCCAACTGTTCACAGGCTCAGCCTAGCCTTGTAATGCATCCTCATGCAAGGTGAGAGGAAGAGTAGGATCTTTCCATGTTTGTGCACAAGAGAAAACTGACTTCAAACATGTCGAGCCACTTGCCCCAGTCTATTCCCAACATTTCACTGGGATCTGGCCAGGCTCTTCCACCTGGCAGTGGGAAATGGCTCAATCTCCATCAGTCTTTTTTGGGAGGCTCTCCCTGGTGAGCAGGAGATCAAAGGTCATGTCAACTTGTCTGGTTTTCCAGGTCTCTAGGAAGGAAGCCCTCTGGGGGCAGGAAGCTGGTTATGCTGACTCATAGGCCAAAGGAGAGTAATCCAGGAAACCTGTCACTGTTACCATGGTGTCCGCTGCCTGGCACCCCTTCCTCTCTAAGGCTTACTCAAGGGTTGGGTGTCAGCAGTGACTGTGGGGCCGGTCAGATCTCCCACCCTGCACTCAAATCTCACCCATAGAATTACAGCTTTGTGGCAAATGTGGGTGCCTTCTTGTAATCACTGCCCCAAAATGGAGGATGTCCCCAGGTTCCCTTCTCTGCCTAGAGAATTTAGGGGTTGCCATTAGCACAACCTGGAGCCTTCTCCACCCAGGCAGTGTAGAAAAAAAAGGTCCCAGGAAAACAAAAATCCTGACGAGGTAGTAAGCCAAGGTCCATCCAATTTCACTGGGGCCCCAGCTCCCCAACTTTCCCGACTATTTTCAGCAAGAGGAAGAAGGCCTGTTTTCTTGGGGAGGAAGAGAACTTGAGAAGTCAGGAAAGTGTCACCCATTTGACTCTCATCTCTCCTGGGGTGAGAAGGGGTCTGGGCAGTTATGATTTATGACCACAAGGAAAAGGGAACAGGTGTCCCATTATCCTAAACCCAGAGCTCTGCAAGGAAGAGCTCACAAATGGTGAGTCCCTTCTGCCAACGTGTAAAACTTTCCTTGGCTGCAAAGAAACTTTTTTCTCATTCTCTAGGCCTGGTCCTACCTGTCCATATCTGAACACTGATCAGAGCTCCATACACAAATGGTACAAGTGCCTAAGCAAGTTCTAGATGCGGCAGACCTGGGTTCAAGTCCCGCTCTACCTGACTAGCTGTGTGGCCTTGGGAAAGTCCCTAGATAACATCAAAGGACTGGTGAGAAGTGAGTGAGACTACACAGTACATGGCACATAGTGTTTGGTGTTTGGCAAATGTCAACTGTTCTTAAGGGATTCAGGTGCAAGGTAGAGACTGGTCTCTTAGGATTTGGAAACGACAGATTAGAATTTCATCATTTCCACCTAAACTAAAAATTAGGGAGTCACCCCTTTATTCTCTCCTTGATCCCCTCTTAAGGGCTCCCTTAATTTTGTCCTCAAGGTCAGAAGAACTGCTTTGCAAATGTGAAGCCCTGAGTTCAAACCTTAGTCCACCCCCAAGAAAAAAACAGTCAGAAAAACTTTTGAAGAACGGTTTTCATTTACCATTTCAGAAATCAAGGTCCAGAGAGATAGTGATTGGCCTGAAGTCACAAAGGCAGCAAGTACCAGAGCTGGGAGAAGTGCTTCCTGATCCCCATTCTCCTGGCCTTTCCACTGTGGCTCTGAGCAGTTTGGGATTCTAAATATTCAGACTCCACTACACTGGCCTACTTGTTTGCAGAACACGGGGAGAGACCCAGACAGACACACTCCCTTCCCAAGAAAACACCAAGGGTGCAGCCACTCCCTTCCTCAAGGCTAAGAGCTTAGCTCACCCAGGAGGGAGAGACCCCATTCATGCAGGCTGATGTCACCTAGAGTGATAATAATGTAGTTGTTATGTAGCACCTTGCCCCAGAGAAACTCCAAGATTTCAGGTTGAAAGTATCCCCAGAACCACTTTCTGGGTCCCAACCTGCAGCTGCTTGGGCTCCACCCCTTAGAGGGTTCTGTGGCCAGCTCCTTGGGACATGGGGGTAGGAAAAACAGGCTTACCCCCTAATCAAGTAAGAGCCTGTTTAAGAGTAACAGGTCCCACCCTCCTCCCCCACACTCAGTGACTCACTGGCAAGTTTTTGGAGAAGAAACTGAGGGTGGGTAGTGGTTGTCAAACCCCCAAGCTGAGGGAGAATGCGGTGGAAAAAAAGATGTCAGGAAATCCCCTCTACTGACTGACACAAGAGGCTGGCCGATACCTTCAGGTCTCAGGTGTGGGCGCACAAGACAGCTCTCTTCAGCTCCACCTCCTGACACCTGTCCCCAGATGGGTCGGACCCTCTGAGTCCCTTCTTTTCCCCCTGAACGCAAGCAGGACTGTTTTCTTACTAAACTTTGGGGGCGCATCATTCTTTGTGTCCCTTCCCCCTTTGCTGCACTTGAGCTGCCTGCCCATCTGAAGGCACCTGAGCCCCCCCTAAGCCTGGACACCTGCACAGCTTATCACCATCTCTTTTCGCCCACTTTCTCCCCACGTCCAGCATCCACGACGGCTTCTACAGCTCTTCCCGTCCCCTCCCCAGTGGACCGGTCGGGGCTGCGGGCGGGAGCGGCCAGGGCAAGAGGGAGTGTGGGGGGAGGGCAGGGTGTCCCGAGCTCACCATGGCGAAGCCGGAGAGCAGAGCCGAGGTCCGGCTGGAGGCTTTGAGCTTGGCGCGGCTCAAGTAGAGCTTGCGCCAGGACAGCGCCTGCATGGAGTGCTCGTTGAGACTCATCACCTCGTTGTAACTCTGGCCGATCCAGTCCGGGTAGCTGACGGCAGGCGGCGGCGGCGGCGGCGGGGCCCCCGGGGGCTCCCCGTCCCCGCTGCGGCGGCGGCTCCGGCGGCTGCCGCTAGTGGTGCTGCCGCCGCTAAAGGGAAGCTCGGGACTGTTGCTGTCCGGGGGCGGGGCGGGCTCCGGATGCATGGAGCACGCTGCGAAGGCGCGGCCAGCCCGGGAGCCTGCGAGGGCAGCGGCCCGGGTCTCGCCACACACTCCGCCCGCTCCCTCTCGCCTCACACGTGGGCCCGGCCTCACCGGGTCGGCCGGCCGCCGTGAACCTAAGAGGTACAACAAGCAGCTGCAGCCCCAGCTCTCAGGCCCGCCGCACAGTTCCGAAAACCCAAGCGACCGCGACGCGAGCCTGCGCGCCGACCGGCGTCCGGTTCCAGGCCGGGACCCTCGACGCGCTCCGTGATTGGCCAGCGCCCGTGGGTGATTTGCATACGGACCGCCTACCAAGACGCCCCTCGTGGGCGGTGTTTGTGCGAGTCATGTGACCCGCCGCCCTCGACGGCACCGCCCACAGTCCCTGGCGCGCCGACGCCGGCGTCCGCGCCCGTTTGCTGGAAGCGTCCAGTGACGGTAGGTCTCGTCTCGCATCTGTGCAGCTGCTCCGTGGCCCTGCTCCCGGAGCTTCGACTCCTGGGTTGGGCCGCCTGAGGTCACCTCTGGGCGCCTCTTGAGGCCGGTTTCCCCTTGGCGCAAGGTCTGTTGGAAAAAGAGCAAGCTGAGGTCTACAGCTAATGTTTGTTGAGCGCCTGCTAGATGCCAGCGCTGTTCACCTGCACAGAGGACAAAGTCCCCCGCCCTCTTGGAGCTTGCATTCTAGTGGAAGATCCGTCCAAACATCAATGAGTAAATTATAATAGTTTAAAAGGTTGTAAATGTATAGAAACGATAAAGCAGGGTAAGGGAGGTGAGTAGTACCAGGGTGGCCCTTTTCATTTCATTTATTTTTTGGGTTTTTGACGCAGGGTCTCACTATATATGTAGTCCAGGCTGGTCTTGAACCTGGTCTGTAGCCCAGGTTGGCCTGGAACTCACTATCCTCCTTTCTTAGCCTCCTGAGTGCTGGGATTACAGGTGTGTACCACTGTGCCCAGCTCCATTTTAACTTAATTTTTGTTTTTCTAGGACTTTTTTGTTGTTTTGTTCAGTTATATTAACTAGAGTTTGATTTATATTAGGCCAGTCATTGCCTGAAGTTTTGGTTGGTTGTCTTTTTTTTTTTTTTTAAGCCGTACTAATGTTTGAATTCAGGGCCTCATGCTTACAGGTGCTCTACCAGTTGAGCCACACCTCCAGTCCTGTTTGTCCTTTTTTTTTCCTACAGAGCTAGTGATTTTCTTGTTTGTCTTTTTGAGACAGAATCTTACTTACCGGACTGGCCTCAAACTTGGGATCCTCCTGCAACCACCTCAGAATGCTGGGATGACAGGCATGTACCACTCTACCCAACTACCAGATAAGGATCTTTTGCACAGCGGGGTGCCGTGGCTTGCACCTATAATCCCAGCTACTCAGGAGGCAGAGATCAGTAGGATCACGGTTTGAAGGCATATAGTCAGTAATACCCTATCTCGAAAAAACCCATCACACACACACACACACACACACACACACACACAAGGTCTGGGTGGAGTGGCTCAAGGTGTAGGCTCTGAGTTCAGGCCCCAGAACTGCCAAAAAGAAAAAATTTTTTTAAGCAAATGAATCCTCAAATCCACTCAGAAGCTGTGTTCGGAGCACACATTGAGTGCTAGGTGAGGGATTCCTGCAAAATGATAACCTTTATGAAATCTCAGATGGGGTGTAGGGAGAGCATTCCTGTAGAGCCCTGAGGCAGCAATGCAAAGAACCAGAACCTAGCTCTGCAGGGGGGAAAGTGACTGCAAATGCAGAGCCCCTACAGCGGGGCTCTCTGGCTTTTGGAGCATTTGCTGCCACTTTTGTTTTGGGATATTGGGGAGCCACTGTGTTGTGGGGTAGAGCACTGTCTAGGATGTCACCTCCTGGGTAGGACCTTTACAGTTTCACAGCTCTAACTCCCAGAGTTCAGATATCACCTGGCACATTCTTGGCACTCAGAAAAATATTTGTTGAATGAATAAATGTGGGAAAAACAGGAATGAATGATAGAATTTAGCCCACAGTAAAGTCACAAGCATGTGGCATTCCAGGTCTGTGGAGTGACGTTTAATTCTTGTTACCACCAGAGGGCGCTCATCTGCTCAGTCACATTGTACACTAAACCTGGAGGCCCCCTCTTCCCAAGTTTGTGGGATTTCCCCCAAAGACCGTCCTCTGTTTTTATGGAGAGTGGGAACTTGGAATTTGAAATTTCGCCCCACTGAGGTCCTTTTTATGGTGGACTTTTTAATTTTTACTCCTTCCACGTGCCACCTGCCTCTCCTCAACATCGCATCCAAAGAGATCTTTCCCTCTAAGTAGCCCCACCCCCTGTCAGAATCTGTCACTCGCACCATGTCTTCAGTTCATACTCTGATTCCTACAACATCTGTCCCTGTCATGTGTCTCAGGGCAAGAGTGTCCTGAAAGCCAAGTTTGTGCCTCCCAACGGAAACAAATTCAATGAATAAATAGTGAAATGGTCTTGCTTCAGAGAAACCCCAGTATAGGACAAGGTACACACAATGTTAAGGTCACCAGGGCCTGAGGTCTGGAGGGGGAAGAGGTTGAAAGCCAGGAGGATTTTCTGATTTAGGAAGAACAAAAGGATCTGGGACTGGGGTGGGGGTAGTTTCTCTTTTCCAGTTCTCCAACTGCCTAGCAAGTATGAGGTCCTGAGTTCAAACCCCAGTACTACAAAAAACAATTAATAAAAATAAATAAATACAAAAAGGCTGAGTGCAGTGTGGAACACCTGTAATCCCATCACTCAAGAGGTTGAAGCAGGAGGATCATGAGTTTGAGGCCAATATGGATTACATAGAGATTCTGTCTCAAAAAAAAGGGCTTTGGATGACTGGGAGTGTAACTCAGTAGCAGAGCACACACTCAGCATGTAGAAGACTCTGGTTCAATTCCAGAACTAGAAGAGAAAGGGTAAAAATATCCAGACCTGGGGTGGAGGGAGGATGTCTGGGCAATTGCTGCCTGTTACCTCAAACTGCTAAAATGCCAGAAGTTAGTAACCTTTCTCTACCTTGTTAGAAATAGCTGGGACCATAAGCCACACTAAACCATTTAACAGATGGAGAAACTGAGGTCCCCACAGACAGGAAACAAACCTGTGGACAATCAACATTGGAACCTAGGCACCCCATTCTACAATGGCTCTAATGATCATGTATGACTCCCTTTAGCAGCCAGGAGGTATGCTGTCAGCCTTTTGGGGTTTATATCTGAAAAAAAAAAAATTTTTTTTCAGTCAACTCTGTATATGAGGGTATAGAGACCCAAATGAAAGGACCTGGCCCATGGTGACCAATGGCCACTTCCCAGGACTGACTAAAGATGGTATGGACTGCCTTGAGAGGTAGCAGGCTCCCCATCACATAGGGTGAAAAAAATACTTGCTAATGACAGGTACTATTCTAAGCACCTTATACTAAACACACAAAATTATCTTGTTATTTAATTATATTAAATATGTTATATTAAACTCAAGAATTCCTCACAACAACCCCATGATAGTAATAGCATGATTTTAAAGATGAGAAAATTGAGGCCCAGAGGAAACAGTAGGACAAGGTGGGTCTGGGATTTCACTACCACCCCTGTCATTCCTGCCATCTACATCAGAATCTCCAGAGAGATTTGTGTTAAAATGCAAGTTATACAAGCCACTCAAGAAGTTCAGTTTTAGCAAGTTCTTCAGGTAAAGTTTGAGAACCACTGAACTAAGTGTTCAAGTATTTTGAGTCTTTTACTTGTCCCTTTGGATGCTCAGTTGTAGTGTGACCTTGGGGAAATTATTCAACCTTTTCTAAGTCCCAATTCCCTAAGAGAAAATGAGATATTACAAGTACCTAGTCACAGGCCCTGATGTTAGATACCCAGTAGCTTCATACAGATTTCTCAGGTGAGGTCAGCCCCGAGAGTACAGCTCTGGAGGATCCCACTTGCCCCTCCTTGCCCAACAAGGCTTCAAAGGAGTCTCCACTTTCCTCTAGTTCAAAAAGAGAGTGCTCTGTCATAGTCCTCATTGTGGTTTACTTCTGTTTACTCCTTTTGCCCCCCAACTGCGTTAAAGCTACAAGCCCCTAAATTAGTAAGAATAAAAGTTGTTCAAAGTTGTCCTGTGCTGGAATTAGCCTCCCTCTGTGTATTCATGTAGAATATGTGAAATTGCTTGGCTGCCCAGCCCTTGTCCCAACTTAATAGATCATCTGGATGGTAGCATTAGTGAGTGATTCAGAAGGTTTTCATGGTCAAGGAATTAATCTGGCAACCAAGTTAGACACTGTCAGGGACTGATTATGAAATTGAAAATTAGGAGTTGTGGACTCTGGTATTGATCTCAAAATGATCCTTTGGGCCTAGAGCTCAGAGACCATCCCAGGAGAGCACCTGCAGTGTTTCCCTGTTCCCCACACCCTTCTGAGGCTTGTAGGGCTCAGTCCAGTCCCCTATCCTCACCTGCATCAGAAGACTTTGCTGGGTCTTCAGTGTTTGTGCCCAGGCCCTTTTTTTTTTTCCTGATATTGGGGCTTGAACTCAAGGCCTACACCTTGAGCCACTCCACCAACCCTTTTTTGTGAAGGATTTTTTTCAAGACAGGGTGTCACAAACTATTTGCCTGGGTTGGCTTTGAACCATGACCCTCATGATCTCTGCCTCCTGAGTAGCTAGGATTGCAGGTGTGAGCTACTAGTGCCCTGCTGTGCCCAGGCCTTTTATGGTTGTTGCTTTTTGTATTCTGGATAAGAAATCTTTTCTAGTCTCAAGGTCATGATGACATTCACCTGTGTGTGTTTATTTTAACTTTAGTGTTTTTGCTTATATGTTTTGGTTTATGATCACCCCAATCTCATTTTCAGGTGAAATAATTTTCTCCATTGAAATGCCTAGACATTTTTGTCCATGAGGTATAGTTCAAAGGTAGAATTGCTGACACGCTTAGCATGTGCAAGACCCTAGGTTTAATCCCCAGCACCAAAATAAGTAAATAAATAAATGCAAATCTCAAAGTGAAGTAAAGGTAAGACTTGATTTTGTTCTCCTTTTTCTTTTTTTTTTTTTTGTGTGTGGTACTGTGGTTTGAACGCAGGGCCTTCACCTTGAGCCACTTCTCCAGCCCTATTTTATTAATGGGTTCATTTTCGATAGGATCTCATGAACTATTTGCTCGGCTGGCTTCGAACCACGATCCTCCTGATCTCTGCCTCCTGAACAGCTAGGATTGT